ACAGTGATATTTTTTACTGTTGGTTCAGGTATATAGACTTTTCTCTCACTGTAATTTTGTTTCTTGTAACTTCCAATCTGTGTTAAACTGAACAAGGGCTTAACCCCACCATTAATTTACACTATAAATTAGTGTAGCTAACCTGTAATTTTTGTACTTACAGTCTATGTACTGGAATTTTCCGGTCTAACATGCAGTGTAATTACACTGGACTTTCAGTGTAATTAATTTGTTTATTATGTGTAACCAACCTGAATTTTTGTACTTACAGTCTATGCACTGAAATTTTCCAGTCTAATTTGCAATGTATTCAGTGTAATTAACCTATTTTTTAGTTACAGTCTATGTACTAAAATTTTGCAGTCTAAATTGCAGTGTAATTACACTGTAAATTTAGTGTAATTTGCAATGTAATTACACTCAGTGTTTAACCTGTGTGTTAAGTGTAATTAACCTGAATTTTTGTTCTTACTGTCTATGTACTGTATTTTTCCAAGATAAATTGCAGTGTAATTCTACTGTAATTTTTTTATCACATTTATGTCATATAAGGCCTGTGGGCAGGGACCCCTTGTTATTTATCCTAATGGCAGTGTAAATTGTTCAGAGAAGCCACATAGACGAGTTTCCTTTGCAGCACATTGTATATCAGTGTTGAGTTTTCATCAAAAATGGGAGGAGGCTTGTGTATCATGATCATCGACTCCATCTGTCTATGATATACTTGTCAGGTATCCTCTCTATGTTCAATTAGATCATCTCACTCTGAGTATGTGTTAGGATAGGATTCCATCCTCGTGAAATGCGCAGCAGATGCATCATGCATGAGTACTTCTCTTGCATCAAATCTATCTGTACTAGGAACTTTCTTCTTCTTAGTTCTCTCGAATGATAGGTCTCAGCTTGATAAACCATGTAGGGTTTTTCTCTTTTTCAAGCTCAAACACATGCAACCTCGTTGTATCTTCCATTTTCTTTTGGAACTTCCTGAAGATACGAATGTTGTAGAGCTCGTGCACTTGTCTTTCTAAACTGTATTTGGACCAGAACTTCTTGTGGGCATCCTTTTTGTTTCTAGACAAGTGATCACATTCTTGCTCCCTCTCATGAATGACTTCTATTAGCTTGTCATACTCTCTTAGGAAGCTTGTTGCACTGAATTTAGCCCCCACTCCCCCTTTTGAATAGTGCATTTGTCATACTCTCTTCGAGGTACAGTGACTGCCCTTTGATGCTATATTCCATTGCATCTAATTCGATTGCAGGCACCTGCACTCAATGTTTCCAGAAAGTATATGTAATGAAGTGTTGTAGAATAAACAAGAGCATTTCTGCTGTCCCCATGTGTCCCTTTTTGCATGTATGCATGTTTATGCATATGTCGGGTGCAACAAGTATATCAGAAATGCAGTAAAGCATGTTGCAAGTCATTGGCAAGGATTTTTTGTACATTTTGTCTTTGAAACCAGAGTTATTTGTGTCAATTCCAGTAGTCTCTTCATACACAAGTTTTTGATTTCTTCTATTTATGTGTAAATCAGAGCTTGTAATTTACAAGGTAGGATGCAGAGTAATTACATAGAGAAGGTCAGAGTAAATTGATCAAACAAGTCACAATAATTTGATTTCAGTATATAGTTTCTTTTGTTAGTGTCAACTAGTGTCAGTACTTAACCTGATTGTCCTCGGTCCTTTTTGTGATCATTTTACTTTCACTGTTAATTTTCATGGCTGATTAGTCATTGTGAACTAGTATCAGATCATAGTAATTTGAACTATAACTTTGTACAGTACCATAGTTTCTAAAATATAGTCATGTATTCACATCTTTATACTGAAATCTAATCTGCCATGTCTAAAATACAGTCATAGATTCACAGATATAAGTGTCTAAACATGATCAAAAGTATCTGAACAATGTACAGTTTCTCAGCACCAAAGTTTCTGAAGTTACAGCAGTACTACTCTTTTTGTTTGAACAAGTTTTTCCTAAATGGAATTCATAGCTTCCTGAACATGCCCCCTCTCATCCCCAAACTTTTATTTTGCCCCGTGTTGTGGCTATAGCTGCGAATTTCAGAGCACTAATTTTGCAACTAGTTTTCAGAATGTAGTGTTCCAAAGTGTTATTCCTGTGACCATAGACTAGTAGTTTGTGTGTTCATAGTCTAGTTGTTCCTAGGGTTTCTCCTGCTTCATGCTATCTTTTCTGCCTGTGTTCTAATCTTTGTTCTGTTAAGTTGTGATCTTCAACATATGTGAATGATCCTCACAGGGAGCTTGTTTTTCTTTCAGATGTCATGAGGTAGGAGAGAGATCTTGGAGGAGTGAATGCATAAGAGTTCGGTGTTTACCTGTGTTTTTTCTGCATCTCCATCCAGATTTGTGTCCCAGATCATGGAGGAATTACCCTCTCTGCTGGTGTGTTTACATTGCATTTTCTTAGTGGATTTATAGTGTAATTCCTACTGGATTTCGAGTGTAATTCTAAGTGGATTTACAGTGTAATTCTAAGTGAATTTACACTGTAATTCCTACTATATTTAAAGTGTTTTTCTTAGTGATTTCCGCTGTAATTCTAAGTAGATTTACAGTGTAATTCTAGGTGGATTTACACTGCAGTTCCTACTAGATTTACAGTGTTTTTCTTAGTGGATTTCCATTGTAATTCTAAGTAGATTTACACTGCAGTTCCTACTGGATTTACAGTGTTTTTCTTAGTGGATTTTCACTGAGATGCTTAGTGTAATTTAGTACAAATTATTTGGATTGTTAGTATATTTTTAGCGGTATTTACAATGTAAATCTTAGTGTAATTTTAGTGGATTTTACAGTGTAATTTTAGTGGATTTTACACTGTAATTCTTAGTGGACATAAAGATTTTACAGTGCATTTTTCAGTGGATATTAAACTGAAACTCTTTATTGGAATTATTAGTGTAATATTAGTTCTTTTCCAGTGTGTATTTTGTCATTTCATTTTGGTCCTTTCCTCCCTTTGTTAGCTTTAGCTTAGTGGACATAGGAAAGCTTGGCTTCAAAGTTGGGTGTTTTTCTCCTTTTTTCCTGCTTTATGTTGGGGCTGAAAATGCTGGGGTGTGGACCCGTTAAGAACATGTTGCTGGACTGTGTAAAAGCGGGACAAATAAGAACAAACAGGGGACACATGACAGGGGGACACTTGTCATCTTGTAACTGGTGGAAAAATATGGCTGAAAGTGAATTGGTTTTCATCCGGATGTAAAATAGACAGTCCCTTATTAAAGTCTGAGGAGGAGTTTTAGGATGCCACGGCAACTAGAGATGCGGTAGTAAGGGCCAATTCTTTTGAAGCCTCTAAAAATGCTGGCTAAGGAAACACCCACACCCCCACCAAGCTTATTCTAGAAGGGCAACCTAAAACGTTATTTTTGTAGCATACTAGTTAACCCTTAATTAGTAGGTTTCTACAATAAAGTTATAGATCGGGCTTCTAGAATAGGTTGGGGAGGGGCAACTTATCGCCATAGTTAGCCATAAGCCCCAAAAGAATTGGCACTAAGAAACTGACTATTCAGGAAAAAGGACGCTGTAGATGGTAACATTAGCAGACAACTTAATTACTCCCTCCATTCCTATTTATAGTGCGTATAGGTTTTTGCCTTAGATTCCGAATTGTAGTGCGTATAGACTGTTTTGGACGAAAGTATCCCTTGGCTAGTCACGGGAGTGCAGCAGCAGGCACCCATGTGCTTGACAAACCTAGTAGGTATAGGGGCAATTCTCGTCCAAAAAAAAAACGCCAGCACATGTCTTGTATAAGAGCCACTCCACAAGGCGCACTACAAATAGGAACAGAGGGAGTATATTTTTTCAGTAAACTTTTCATTTTAGTCAGAAACTAAGCAAAGTAAATAAAATCAAGGAAATTATTTGTTTTTGAAAAATGCCACATTATAGAGCTTTTTTGTAAGCGGAAGTTTTTTTTATCAGACCCCCATTCATTTTGGCTTGCTGTTACTCTCTCCATTTCTTTTTTTTTTTTTTGCATATAAGATTTGGTCAAACTCAAACTTTGTTTACTTTCATTAAGTTTATAGATAAAAATATCAAGATTCACAATATAAAATCAATATTGTTAGATGCATCATGACATTAATTTTCATACCATTTAGCTTCGGTATTGTTGATGTTGATTTTTTTCCTATGACGTTGGTCAAACTTTACATAGTTTGACTTTGACCAAATCTTATATGCAGACTCAGGGCTCGTTTGATTCAAAGGAATTCTATAGGATTTTTGGAGGATTGAAATCCTTTGAAAATTTTCTATGTTTGTCCTTTGATTCATAAGATTAAATCCCACAGGAATTTTTTCAATGGAATTTTTTGTACTACATTTTATATAGGAAATCTAACATCCACTCCAACCTCTTTTTACAAATTCCTCTGCTTTTTTCATGAAATTAAACACTCCTTGCTAGTCCTATAGGATTCAAATGGGCATGACATTCAATCCTATACGTTTGCTATTCCCGTGTTTCAAAATCCTAGGAATCAAAGAGGCCCTAGAAAGAAACAAAAGAAGTACTCCCTCCGTCTTAAAATTCTTGTCTTAGATTTGTCTAAATACGAATGTATCTAACACTAAAACGTAACTAGATACATCCGTATTTAGACAAATCTAAGACAAGAATTTTGGGACCGGAGGGAGTACTTACCTTCCTACGATTTGGGATGGAAACAAATAGGCCTGGCCCAGAACATTATTTTATCGACCACTCTGTCCGGAGCGAAGCAACATGGAAGCTTCTCGCAAAGACAGCATCATTTGACTTGTGCTCCGGAAACAAAAACAATCTGTTCTTCCCGAAGAAGTTTCAGTACCAAATCGATTAAAATAGCCTCGACATTAAGCCAGTCCAATATCCAAGCGCTGTAAAATACCACAAAGTCACCGGCCATTACGCAGAGACCTCACAACAATCTACATTTGACTTCCAGCAGAGGAAGCGAGCCAAGATGGGCACACCGGCGGCCGTCAGGGTGATCGGCGCCTTCGACAGCCCGTTTAGCCACCGCGCCGAGGTCGCCCTGCGCCTCAAGGGCGTTCCCTACGAGCTCATCCTGGAGGAGCTCCACAACAAGAGCGAGCTGCTGCTTACGAGCAACCCCGTCCACAAGAAGGTGCCCGTGCTCCTCCACGGCGACCGCACCATCTGCGAGTCGCTCATCATCGTCGAGTACGTTGACGAGACCTTCGACGGGCCGGCGCTTCTCCCAACGGACCCCTACGACCGTGCCACTGCCCGCTTGTGGTCCCGCTTCATCGATGACAAGGTACATGACCTGATCTCTCGTCTCACTCTGCTCAAACTTTCTCTAGTAGTTAGCGATCTTGTTTCCGTGTAAACTCCTGGCTACGTACCAGTAATGATTTTGGCTGAGAGTGCGCAGTGCTCGAAGCCGTTCTGGCTGGCGATGTGGACTGATGGGGAAGCGCAGAAGGGGTTCACGAAGGAGATCAAGGAGAACTTCGCGCTCCTGGAGGCGCAGCTCGAGGGTAAGAGGTTCTTCGGCGGCGGCACCATTGGCCTCGTCGACATAGCCGCCTGCGGGTTCGCGCACTGGCTCACCGTCTGCGAGGAGGTTTCTGGCGTGACACTGGTCACGGCCGAGGAGTTCCCTCGCCTGTGCCGCTGGGCCAAAGAGTATGCCTCCGACGAGAAGGTCAGAGCGTGCCTGCCGGACAGGGCGCAGATGCTCGCCCATTTCACGGCCAACAAGGAGATGTTCATGGCCATGGCAAAGTCAATGCTGCCAAAATAATGTGATGTATGTTGATGTGGAAGTGGATGCGTGCATGAAAGATATCGTAGCCCAGAGCGCATGGTCGTCATGTGATGGAATAAAGAAAAAGCATTTACTAGTATTAATCAGTCATCTGATTTATTTATTATTTCTCAAAAAATATCTGATTCATCTATTTTGATGCAAATCAATCATATGAATTTATCAACTTTGCAATAGCAAATTACCGTTTGAGCCACCGCCTCATTGTTCATCTATCGCAACACTTGTCACCGCTAGAGCTTAGTTGTAGCACTCCTACGTTTTTGTAGGAGCATACAGGTCGAAAATCCAATTTTGTGCCCAGGCTTATCTGCACCTGATCAGGAAAAAAAAGCAAAAAAAATACTAAAAAATTTAAAAAAATCCAAAAAAAATTGTGTGATAGCAAATTGTATGCGTGAGGTTCGCTCCAAATTTCAACTTATTTGGACATCTCAGAAGCTCTCAGCAAAAACAACAAATCGGTCAGAACAGTGTGTGAACAGTAAACTTTTTTATAGACCCTGAATTTGTCTTTATTGCTGAGAGCTGCTCAGATGTTCAAATAAGTTGAAATTTGAAGCGCACCTCACGCATAAACTTATCTTACAAGGCCTAATAAGAGAATGGCCGAGGCCGAGGGTCGCCGTAGTTGCCATGCAGACTATTTTTTTTCCATAAGAACAGCAAGGCCATGCATACTGGGGAAGTGATGAGCCTCATCCGGGACAAACATCATAAAACATTGATTGGCCTTTAACAGTGCTCAATAGGCAATGGAAATGTACTATGAATATTTACTTTCGTGTATGAATAATTTACTTACACGATGAAACATATGTGAGAAAACCTTTTACATGTGCATCATTTTTTCTATACACAAATTTTTTACAAGTTGTTTTGACATTTTTATTTTTCATGCATATATATTTAGTTTTGCAAGCATGAACACTTTTGTACACACCAGAATATCTGCAAAAAAATACATTATATTTCTCAATTTTGGTATAAATTTCTTTTTGCAAATGGTTCATTTCTATACTCGAGAATTTTTTTTTTTGAATGGGCCTCACCAGTATCCGAAGCATGGAGTGTTGGCTTCTCTCCCGATTAAGTGCGAGGCAAAGCTCCCCTGAGCCCACTAATTGCCATGAGCACTGTTTGTGTACATGGGATTGGAGGGCGGAAATGTTAATCATGGGCATGACAGCTCCATTTTAAGTAGCTCAAACGTGCCCAACATGATAGTTTTGGTAGCACAACATGTATATCCATTGGTGGCAATGTTGTCGATCACTTGTCTTATGGGTAGGAGGAATTGTCTCCCAGCTAACAACGTGATCTAGGAGGCCTATAGAAATTACCACATCAGATTTGTGCTGAGTTCAGTGAGAGACGAAAGACGATAGAAGATAAGTGGTATAAGATCTATAGCCAGATGCAACACATGATCCAGCAAGCTTGGTAAGATAAGAGGAGCAAGTCGCGCTATGTATTAATGTTCAATACAAGGTCGTTTTTATCCATGATGGATTTGTTATGAAGTTCTCATAAACCTTGATAGATTGGCCTAAATCCGTGATGATTCCAAAATTCCAGTCACATACCAAATGGGATCATGAAACCCAATTGGGTGATGCTTTCTAGCTCGACTGTAGATAATAAACTCGAACTACTAGGTTGAATCTAGATAATATGGCCATAAGATAGAGCCAAATATGGATGGGCTAATTACTTGAGTCCTAATAACATGGCAATAAGACAAAACCAATAGTTGGCTATACTGCTAGTCATGCTCGAAGAATGATGGAGGGGTGTCTATCACATCCATGATGATACGTGTTTTTGTCACTGTTATCATCATGGAAGTGTCACTTCCATGACATGAATTTTTTCAAGCCAAAAATGTCATAGATATGTCTTTTTCTTGTACTGCTTCTCAGATACAGTTTCTGGCAGGGTGAGTTTTAGAATATTAGCAAGCACCTTAGAAACTAATGTGTAGGTCATGTTATCTATAAATACACTATGCTCCCTAATTTTGGAGTTCTCACATTCATTGAGGTCTCCAATTTGGAATTGGGTCACTTGATTTTGACCGTGTCAGCAATATTTTTCTATCAAGCAACTCTCTCGTTCAATTTTTCAAATCCACTATACTCCCTAATTTTCGAGCTCCCCCATTCGATTGAGGTAATCAATTTTGAATTTGGTTCATGATTTTGAATTGGTAAACGATTGTTGAAATCAATGACAACCAAAACCATTGGCATCCACAATATTAAATAAATAAAACATGGAAATTCATTTAATTATGAATCTAATGATATTGATTTGATATTATGAATGTTGATATATTTTTCTACAAAACTTGATCAAACATAAAGAGGTTTGAATTTTCAAATAACAAATACACCTTATACTTTTAAACAAAGGAGTAGAAAATCTATGAGAACGCAACAACACAAATGGCGCAGCAAAGCGCGCCCAACCCTTCCAATATAGACTAATTGGTCTAAAAATGACAAAGAATCAGGATTTTTCACCTTCATGATTGGAGAAATGATGGAGTTGTTGAAGACCCTTATCACCAAACATATGTCATGCTCTAACAGTCTTTGTGTCGTTTGTAAAAGATGGCCGGAACCATCCGCTCCCAGAGCCTTGTTAGGGCCCATTTGAAAAAAAAGGTAACTTGGTATCCTCAATGGTGTACTCTCGACCAAGAATCACATTCATCTTCCTATTCACTTTGATAGGTATGGCATCTAAGACAATGTCCACAGATGTGCAAGGTTGAGTTGATAAAAGGTTCACATAGTAGTTATGAACCAACCTTTGGATGCCTTTCTGGACTTCACAAACCGTGCCTTAAAATTTTCGTAAAAAAATTAGTTATATTCAATCTTCTCCTTGTCGAGGCTCTTGCATGCAAAAGTAAGTATTTATGTCCCCTTCCTTGAGCAAGTCTATTATTGACGCATGTTGGACCATTATTTCTTTTCTTTCAAACATTTCACATAACTTCTTTACAATATTATTCTCATCTTGAGAAACTTGTGACCCATTATTGCCTCTCCAGATTGGAGTCAATCTTTTCTCCAACTTCTGAATCTCCTTTTTTACAGACCCGAAAGAATTCATACTCCAAGTTCATACTCCAATCATTTTCTTAGTATTCCATGTATTTCTAAGAGATGGTGGGACTTCTTTAAATGTCACCAAATTTTCCAGGACCATAACCAAGTAATCTGGAGCCATCATACATGTCTCCTCAAATTTCAAGCAGCTCCCAACTGGAACAACAAGGTTCAAGGAACAACGTAAAAGAATAAGTCATGATGCCTTCTAAGCCTAGGCAACTGATATATACTCACCACTTCTCGAATGGATAAATGCTGCATATTCATTGTATCTAGAGGATTTGAAATTCAGGAGTAATATGTACAGTTCGGCAATGTGAGTGTAAATGCCCTACCCCCCTTGCCTTTTTATGTGTCACGGTGTTTGCAATGTTATTTAATTTGCACACATGAAGTCATGAACTCATTTCTAGTGTGTGTATATGTATGGGTGGGTGGGTGGGGGTGGCATTATGTTTAACATATAATAAGTAGTGCGACTATTGGGGATGATACCAGACTGGTGGTTGAAACCGTATTCTTTCTGGCGGCTGCCATAATTTATTTGAGTTATTGCATTTTTAAAGGGCACATTTTAATATAGTTTTCAAATTTTATAAATAAAGAAAAGTCTAAACGGCCAACAAAGATGCCAACCCATATATGTGATGTTTGAGGCGGCCCAACAGGACATTATCTATTCAACACCTTGTCCCCCGAATCACATTCCCATAAGGGAATGCTACAAGTCATTTTTCCTTTTTAGTTTGTTTTTAGTGTTCGTTTTCTATTGGTTTTTTTGTTTTCTTTTTTCTTGTTCTTTTTTTATTTTTTTCAACGCATGAACTTATTAAAAATCATCTTTTACAATTGATTGAATTTATGTAAAATTAACAAACATTTTGAGAATACATAACTCCTTTTTAATCATGTAAGTATATTTTAAATTCATGACATTTTTAAAATCCATTAATATATTTTATATGCCATGAATGTTTTAAATTTTACTACCAATTCCTAAATTGATGAGCGTTTCTAATTTCCGAATTTTTTTTAACTTCACCACTTTTATAATATTTTAGTGAAATTAAGTAAAATTTTGAACATTTTAAAAATTTATGAATAATTAATTTTTTTAAAATTTGTTGACACTTGTGAAAATCCATGTGAATTTTTAGATTTCATAGAACCATCTATGAAACGGTGACCAATCTTTAAAATTTCAAACATTTT